GGATAAATTTGCATATATGTTATATTTACATGTATGTTATACATAGCTTATTTATAGATAGAAACTAGTGATTACTTTTCAGGTTTGAAGAATCATTACTAGCCCTTCCCAGCATGCACTAATTTTAGTCTGCAAAAAGAAAAAAATGAACACGCATAAAAATTATCTAATCTTGTACTTGTAATAAAACACCTTGAAGTCAAATGAAGTTTATTTAGGGCTAAAAGATAAGATTGTAATCTACATGAAAGCTTGTCATTGAGACTTCAGGAGTCCATTTCATTTCATGTCAAATTCTCCATATCATGCTTCATTAATTATGATTAAAAAATAGATCCCTAACTGTTATTTGATTGTAATCGTTATTATTTGATGAAGCATCACCAATTATTAATTTTTTGGCTCATGTCTGTTTTATTTACATTACTTCAGTAATTAGTAGATATAATAATGTCTGAATTTTCTAAGCGATACATTGTCTATTATTCTTATTAATTTTTGGAGGTAGTTTTTCAGTGTTTCATCTTTATTTTTTTATTATACTAGTTTTATAAGTCTACATATAATACTAATAGGATTTGAATTATATATACAGTAGAACCTCAGTTCATGAACTTAATTCATTCCTGAAGGCCGTTCGTAACCCGAAATGTTTGTAAACCAAAGTTATTTTTTTAAAAGTAATCAATTTAAAGAAAAACGTCACAGTGCAATAAAATTGGAAAAGAAAAGCATGGCAAAACACACAAATGTATAAAACATGGCGGTTGACACAGAAATGATTCCATTTGGGTTAATTCGGTCTGGCATTGTTGTTCATGAACCAAAATTTTGTTCAATAAGCAAGGCATTTTCATCTCAGATTTCTGTTTGAAAACCAATTTGTTTGACATGTGAGATGTTCAAGAACTGAGGTTGTTTGTGTGTGTGTGTGTGTGTGTATATATATATATATATATATATATATATATATATATATATATATATATATAATTTTTATTACAATAAATTACAATAAAAACATTTTACATCGCTACACAAAAAATTTCATGTTTCAGTACTAAGATGGTACTGCTTCAGGCGATGGTAGATAACATGTGATAAAAATGATTTAATAGGGAAATTTACAAACAAATCTTTACTTCTTTTAGAAAATTAAAGGGGTGGCATAAGGTCAGAATTAAAAATATACTTATGGGTATGTCTAGATTAACCAAAGAACATCAGGTGTACACTAAAATATAAAAATAAGGTCAGAAGGCGGAGGTGGGTGAGTCAAGAAAACATGTCATTAAATGATACTAGGGTACAATTTCAGTGTCAAATGTATTATTGGTAGATCCAAATATGATTTGCCAATTTGTTGAAGTAGACATAAACTTATCAGAAACGGATTTTTTGTTATAAAAAATGAAAAAAAAAAATTCTTTTTAATATACTCAGGAATCTTCTTAAATGGGCCAAAAGGTAAAATTAAAATGTGGAAATGACTATATAGGTTGTTATAAACCTAATATTAACCAAGCGAGTACCACTATTCGAAGCAAGTACCACTATATATATATATATATATATATATATATATATATATATATATATATTTAGTGTATTGGGGCAGCAGATCATTATTCAAATATACATTGTTAAATATAGCAGAAAACGAATGTCTGTTATGTTCGATCATGAGTCATTCTAAACTTTGTATATTGGCTTTAGTTTCGGGAGAAAATAGAGACAAAAACTCCAAGATTGGATATTTTTTTTTATTATGCTGTTCCTCGATCTAAGTTTCTGGCTCACATGAGCCATCATCAGGATGGTTATATAGACATTACAACAGAGATGTTTACTATCAAATATAAAGTTATAGAACCGCATTACGAATTTACAACCTGTGTCTGCTATTCCATAACCATTATCATCACATAGCAAACTTCTATGTAAACAGAACAGGATGTCATCTTTGATGGTGAACATCTCTGTTGTAATAAAAAAAATTTTTTTTTTTTGCCCCAAGCAAGGCATGATGCCACTAGCACGCAAGGGGTTACAGAGAGTGGGAGCAAAAGTAAAGAGGTGCGATAGAAGAAAGGATGAAGAGAAGGAGAGGGAATAGATCAAGGTATCTGGAGATGTCGATTGACATTACATTTGAATAGTTGGAGATTATAACTATCAGGGAAACAAGTAATAGGAAGGGAATTCCACAGACAGGAGGTGCGAGACATGAAGCTATTGGAGTAGAAGAGACGGACACATTTAGCTGATTTGACAGTGAAAGATACTTGTAATTTATATTTGAGACTATAGGTAAACATTGGTTGGTTTTATACTTGCATCAATCAGAAAATATTAATTGGGATTATACTTGAGACACTAGGTAAACATTGGTCAGATTTATACTTGAATCCATAGATAAATTGTTGGGTTGGTGAATTTTATGACATTTTCTACAATGACATTAATTTTTATAATAGAATTAGAGATGACCGTGCACTGAAAACTCAAATTCTGCATTAAAGATCACAATTTGTTTTAGAAAGCATTTCTACTAAAGAATCCTCCAAAACAAAATGCATCTTATTGATTGACAGATTTTGCAAGTTACTGTATTTGTAAAGGGTAAAGTTGTTTATCATTGTTTAAATGGCATTTTGGATGCCCAGAGTTGATAGGTTGGCTCTTTCATTTCCAAAGTAAATTCAGACTTGTGATATTGCTAGAATACTAGCCAAATAACCATCTTCAAACAGAGAAAGTTTACTCACTGAAAAAATATTTTTCTTTGATTAAATATGAAAAAATTATCAATTTTATTTACATCTTATGATATTAAGATTTGGTATATTAACTTTTGTAGAAGATAAGTTTTTTTTTTTTTTTTTTAATCATTTCACCCCAAGCAAGAATAGAAAAAAGAGAAACATTATTAAGGACAGACAAGAATAAAATAAGAGGAATCAAGATGAGGATTACTGGAAAACAAGAAGCTGGAAGAGAGTTTCACAAGTGGGAAGTATGAGAAAAGAAACTATTTGCATAGAACTTACAGCCATTTTATAAAAATGATGAGATCTTGTTGCCAATTTAGTACTGTGCTTAAATTTATAAAGTCTAGGTGCCACAGACCATGAACAATTACCATGAAAAGTATTTATAAAAAAGGAACAGGGAAACTACATTACAGCAATGAAAAAGTGACTGAAGTCAAGATACCAATAACATTGCAAATTATTGTAAGTGTAAGCATTCTGAAAGCAAAGGAAGTATTTGTCACAGATTACTTCCACAACACAAAGAAAAATCACCGTAAGTACAGACTCGAATATCGGGGGCAGAAAGAAATGCTGAAAACTCGATTCGCCGGTACTATCTCGAATCACAATGCGTGTAGCCAGTCAGGAAAATAACTCACTCTCTAACAAATGCCGAAGCCAAAAATGCCCGAATTTCCCTTCCCTGAATTGAGAACACCGACTGCTTTTATCGGCAGAACCTATTTTTTCATTCGTCGACAGCTGGGATAGGATGCTCCGTAATTTGCATATCAAAATACTCTTATAGCGACTCTTGCGATGGACTTGTTTTTTTTTTTTCGTCACAGAATACACGCGACGCACTGTCGCTTGGTTTGACGAGGTAAGTCGGCGTTTTCTTCGCTATAAGATTTTTGCTGACTACTTTTTGGTAATCCTTCTTCGGCAGATCGCACACAAAACACAAACTTTTTTCCGGGGCACCTGATTATCTCTTTCACTACAATTATTTATGTAAATTAAATGTCATTGCATATGATGCAAATGTTGTTTGTGAGTAATATATAATGATTTGAGATGTGTTGTCCTACAGCTGTAAGTTCATACTTACCTGGCTTTGCAGTAATTTCAAAATAATATCCCCCAGGAATTATCTCTCCTTCAGGCTGGTGTCATTACCCAGCACCCAGGCATCCTCAAAAAGGGGGTGTGCCAAGAGTGCTTGAGCAATTTTTCCACTGCATTGCCGGTAAACCCATTTTAAACTGACCTTGAAATATGGCTGAATTTTGGCTGAAATATGGGCACACAAATAAACACCTATCTGGAAATTGAAAATTAATATTAGCTCAAACCACAGGGGACCATTTCCCCCAGGAGGTACCTCTCCTTTGAAAGAGGGCTGGGATCATTATCTGGTGACTCAGGCACCCCCAAAAGCTGAAGTACCGAGGTGGTTTGAGGAATTACTCTACAGCTCTGCTGCTAACCCACATTAAAACTTTGACCTTGTGTCACATTCTGTTGTGATATGGGAGCTCAGTTAAATAACTACAGTTGGGTAGTTCAAAATTAATATTAGGCTTGAGTTCCAGTGAGACATCCCCACCGCCAGGCATTTGGGAAGGAACTTTCATCATTATCCAGCACCTGAGGTATCCCCACAAGGGGAAGTGCTGAGGGGGCTTGAGCAATTTTTGAATGTCTTTCTGAAATTACACATTAAACCCCAACCTTGTTTCATATTCTGTTACAACATGAATTTACATATAAATACCTACATGTAATGATTCAAGGTGTTCCACAGCAAGGAGGTTTCAAGTTAATATTATGCTCAAGTCAAAGGGGGCCAATGCTCAGACAGTATATTTCCTTTGAAAGGAGTCATTACTCAGTACTTGTGGTTTCCTCAAAAAGTGAAATGTAGAGTGAGCTTCAGCAATTTTTGTCTGGCTATTTTGAAATCCCACACTTTTATTGATTTGTTTTTTATGGCTTATCAACACTTTGCAGGTTATTTGAAACTAGAAAATGTCTTTAGCATTTAATAATTTCTTGGAGAATATAATGATTTACTAATTAAGTCCTACTAATTAACCCATAGCTGGGGGGAGAAGAGGTGGATTTGTACCTTTCTCAAGAGTATATGGACGAAAGTAAATTTATTGAACCAAACTGGAATTGAAACTCGGCTCACCAATTTCCAATTCTGAGTCGTTATCTATTACAACCTGCACATCCAAGCTTACAGCACCTGGTATTCCCATGCAGTCACCCATTTAGGAGCTGACCAGGCTCAACGTTGCTTTACTTCAGTGATCATATGTGAACTGGTGTTTCAATGTGATGTGGCTCTAAGCCCACACTTTTATACAATGTACAGTGTATGGATGCTATTTATTCACAAGATTACTGTCTTTTTTATTTTTTGAGATATATTTGCCAAACTTGTGTCTGTTTGTCTTCATCACATGGTCTGTTGATCTCAATCAATGAACCAGCCTTTTGCTTCAATGACAGCCTTGAGGCAACTTTGAAACTGGCCACAAGCCTTCATCACTTGACTTGGGCCCTGTTGATCTTGGTACTCGGTTTGTCCTTTGTGTTGCAACTGGATCTGTTGGTTTCTCATTCCACCAGGACGCAGATCATGATTGTCACAAGAGACCTTGTCTGCACAACTCTGGGCTTGTCCTTGGGTGAGACAGGAAGAAACCTCTTGTTCTGGGAGTTGGTCTTCTCGTCTTGGCAGAAGTTCTTCTCATCAAAGAACATCCCCCAGCATGTCAGCGGGTGTTTCAACTTGTTGATCAGCTTCTTGGTGTACTTGAGTTGTTTTTCCATTTTTGGACAGAAATTGTCCCTTCATCTTTTATGAAAAGTAGCAAATGTTCTCATGCACTACCAGCCTGGTGAGCTTTTCCCTCACACCTTTCTTCCTTTGCAGTGGCACGCAGTGACTTGCAGAGATCATTGTTGATGATCTAGACTTTGGTGACAAACTCCGGCACTCTGGTAGTGTCAGAACGTCAATCAATTTTGATTGTTGCTTTGTTGTTGAATCTTGAAACTTCCAGATCCTTTCTTACCACCATCCTTCTGCTGATGCCAAGGAAGTTTGAAATCTAGCTTGTCCTTCCGGTACAGATCCTAAGAACTCTATGCCACTTCCACAAATTGAAGAATTCAAAATTGTCCATAGTCAATTATTCTATAAAAAAATGCATGTGAAAATGGTTGTTGTTTTCAAGCAAAAACGACGTACAATGAGAGTAAAAAAACAAAAACAAAAAATGCATAAAATTAGCAGTTGAAAATTGCAAACAAATGCTGTCCACACACTGTATAAATAAATACTTGTAAAGTTTCAAGGTGTCTTGTTCTTAGCTGGGAGGTTTCAAATTAATGTTAGTTATTTTTGTTTGACTATTGAGGAATTGGAGAGCTAAGTTTGAATTCCAGTCAAATCCATTGCGTTCACTTACATGCTAATACCCTTGAGAAAGGGATGAATCCTCTTCTATAGCTATGGCTAAATAGCAGGACAGACTGGGTTCTATAGCCTTGGATGGCAACTGGTCTATCACAGAAAGAAATGGCAACTTACTGCAGGAAAAAATCTGCCTCATCAGTCATGTATTAAAAGATACATGATCACCTAAGTGTGTATCATGCTTGGCACCTAACTGACTGATTTTGGGATCCCACACTAAACTTGACCTTGTGTCACATTCTGTGTAACACGTGTGCAAGGATAAATCCTTACTGATATAAATAGAGACACACAGACAAAATATAGCCTGATACAAATTTATAACAGAAGAAATATGGTTCGGCTTGAAATCATTTGATACTGCTTGACATGTTTTTCAAAAAGCTTTCCGTTTAATACAGAGATTACTTACTTACAATATCTAAAGAAATCTTTTTAACTTTCTCCTGAGTCCGAACATGATAATCTAGATTAAGTTTGCTTGACGGCTAAGATTCTTTGTGCTTTGTGAGTCTCAAGCCAGTTCTAAACTTTTGGAATTTACCTACATGCTTATGGATTAGAGAGTGATTGGACCTCTGTCAAGGTTGGCTAAGGAGGTAGAAGCTTTTTGCCTGTGCAGATAAAGTTGGTGTGAGAGTGGTTCACTGGAGTGCTTCCTTGCCTGCTCTCTCTTCTGTAGCTTGCAACAGATGAGAGATTATGATATATGATGATAATACAGGGAGAAATGAATTAATGCTTTTCCCAAGAGCTGGAGTATGAACTTGATTTACTGATTCCACACACTCCAGACCAAGATCAGATAAGATAATTTTTTTAATCCAAGGTGATATATGGATATGATCTAATATCCTCACTGGATGTTAGAAACTGGATAATACTGAAGCCTTTCACATCCACATATAGAAAAACCTATATATATATATATATATATATATATATACACACATATATATATATATATATATATATATATATATATATTAAAGATTACTTAACTTTTAAATATCAATTTTATCCTGACATCGATGTTTCTTTGTAAAAATTTCTAGTCTTCAAGGGTTTGGTTTTAAATGGTATTTACAATTTTTTTTCACTTTGTTTTGCGTCTTTCAATCCACTTTTTTACATCATCTTTTTATATATATATATATATATATATATATATATATATATAAAAAAGAGTAAGAGAAAGTCCCAGAAATACACAAAGCATCATTTAACAACAAAAAGTATACAAATAGTACAACTATCTCAAAGCAAATTAGGAAAGTCCATAATGGTAATATTAGCTAATTTCTTATAATATTATGTATTTAGAGATTAAAGTCATTTGTTCTGACCCTGGCATCTCAGCTTCATTCACTTTCCCAGCACTGTAATGTGGCTTCCCTCTGCCTTTTCTATAAATACCTTCATGGTAATTATTCTGATGAACTTTCCTCTATGGTACTTAGACTTTATGAATTTAAGCACAGCACCAGATTGGCAGCAAGTTCTCATCATTTCTACAGTTGAAGTAGCTAGATGTTCTATGCTAACACTTTCTTCTATCACACTTCTCACTTGTGGAACGATCCAAGCCAACTTTGATTCCCTAAAATTTAAATACAATGTCAGTCGTTATCTTCTCAGTTCATGTTCTTTTATTGTACTCTCTCCTTTATAGTGTTTTTATTTTTCACATATTCTGTGTTTGTTTCAGTCTTTGTTAGGAATGACTGCAAAAGACTTTCTCCTCTCAAATTTAGAAACAGAAGCACACAAATGCATGCTGGGATTTTTTTCTAACCAATAAAATAGTCCGGTTCTCAGTTTCATATGACTCAGTTCTGATCTGTCTTGATGTCAGAATACTATGTTCATTTATCTGAATTTGTGTTAACCCCAATTCTTAATTTGTGAACTTTTTCCCATATTACTGTTGCTTTGTCTTGTATATATTGTTTGCTTGATTTATATTATTCTTTGCCCTGATTTTTTTCTTTTTCTTGTTGTTTATTGCAAACTTTGTCTGTTCTTGTTGTTGGACAGTCCTGCCATTTATTTACATTTAACCATGGCCACTCTACACTCTAACACTCAGTGACCCCTTGCATCTTAGTGGCTTTGTTGCCTTCCTGGGAGTGAAATGATTACAAAAAATATATATATAAAATGTATATATATATTTTTTATAATCATTTCTCCTGAGCAAGGTGATAATGTATTTATGACAATCATCTGCATTTAGACCATTGTGTGCAATGTAGATATAATGCAAGCATTGATATATTTATATAAACCCTGTTTCTATGTTTTATGTGTATCCTGTCTTTTTTTTTTTTTTTTTTGCACTAAGAAAAATTACAGCTTGTTTCAGATTTTGTGGTTTGCATAAATAATGTTTTGACAAAAAATCAAAAGTAATTTTGAAATTTACTATTATTTTCTGTTTTCTTTAGATAATAGCATTTGTTTGTCGAGTCCCTCTGATTTGAACCTGTTTGAATTAATTGCTTTTAAATGATAGGCTGTGATGTCATTGCAATTGATAGACAATAGATGCAATGAAATTCTAGATAAACAAGCTTGCCTTGTTTAATAAAACTGCAATTGCTTTGACAGTCTTTTTGTTTCTCAAACAATTATGGCAATACGCCAACCACTGCCAGGAAACACCAAGTAATTCTGGAATTTACAATAAAGACATTGAATTATTATTGATAGAATTAAGTAAAAATAAAATGAGATTTAACAAAAACATTGTTTTGTTTTCCTATCAGTTTTCAATAACACAAGAATTTGGAAATCAGTGTTAAGAATAAGGAGTGGGGAAGTCACAGAATCAATTGTGACGTCTGCTGCTAGGAAAGTTGGTTCACTGTGTCATGCTAGACAATTTTTATCACCAGAATCTATTTTACATATTTATAACTCTACCATTTGTTCATGCTTTGAATATTGCTGCCACTTCTGTTCTGGTGCTCCTGCTATATATTTAGAGATTCTCAATAAAATCCAAAGAACAATCTACACTGTTGTTGCTCCTAACCTGGCAATTCCGCTTCAATCATTTTCTGTTGTAACCTAGGGAAGGTTACTGAATAAAATAATCAAACAAAAGTTGGTAATGAATGATAATACTTAGGGCAAGAACAACACATATAAGATTCGCCAGCAGTGCACAGAAGAAGTAGTCAACTGCTAGAAGTGAGTCGAGTGAATTCCACAATGAATCTCCAACTGCAGACCAACATACAGTATTTACTACTGTATTTATGTGAATGGAGACATACCCATTATTATCCGTAGGTATGCTACAACACTTTCCCATCACCGCCATAACATAACTTCCTTGTGCCTTTTCTATAAATACTTTCATGTTAATTGTTCAGATGAACTTTCCTCTATGCTATCTAGACTTTAGGAATTTAAGTGCAGTACTAGATTGGCGGCAAGGTCTAATCATTTTACTATTGAATTGGCCGCTCGATGCAAATGTAAGTTCTATGTTAATAGTTTCTTCTATCACACTTCTTGTTTGTGAGCTATCTTCCAGAAAATGATTGGCATTGCATTTATATTTTTGAAGATCAAAGTTTTGCAGGAAAAACATATTGGAGACAATGTTTGATTTCAATAAGAAAGAAAGAAAAGAGAAGATAGAGAAGGTGATAATGCTCATGTATTTAATGCCAGCTTCAGTGAAATAAAAAAAAATCTTGTCAATTTCAAATCTTTTCATTTGTATCCTCTTCCTTCTTTAAATAATGACCTGCATTCCTTACTTACAATTTTTATTTTGTTAACTCTTTCCTTACCAATTATTTTTGGAAAAACGTTTCATTTTCAGATGATGTTTTAATTTGTTTTTGTTGTAATGGAATGTCTCACACTCCCTATCACCTATGTGGACTGACTATATTAGTAGCTATATATAGTGAGCACAGGATATATCTGGGGTTTGCTTCAGGAATTACTAGTCTATCACCCGATTCCCTGTCTTTCTGTAGTGTATTTTCTTTTACAATAAATCTCTCTTCTTTCATCTACGTTCATGTTGCTATTTCTTCACTTGAGTATTACCTTTGTCTGTGTTATAGTGGAACACACCTATTCTATAGTTAATAGACCCTCCCACCTATAATAAGGAGTAGTAGGATTCGCTCAGGGAGTTGGTCAGTCAGTTGATGTTGGACGACTGTTAGTCGGATATTAAAGTATCAGCCACCACAACTAGATTACTGCGTCATTACCTATTATATCAAGTTCCTAACATTTTGTACATCAAACCTATTTTAGGACCGACTTAGTACAAATACAAGCCTCCACTGTGAAACCACTCTACAACAGTCTGTTTGTAATCTCTTTAAGGATACAACTGTTTTTAATATAGTAATTAAGAAACTGAGGCACCTTGAAGTACCTGAGCAGTGGCTAACACCTCTACCAGATGTACAAGTTGACAATTGGACTCCTTTCATGCTCAGTCAGGCATAAAAAAAAAATCTACATATAAACACGTCTATAGCTAGTTTTTGAACATTATGTTTTGGATGTGTTCATTTGTCCATGTCTGAAAAAGACACTTTCAGTAAAAACATATGCACACGTCTGTGCCGAGGAAGGGGTTAAAGTTATTAAGCTCAAATATATAATTGGGCAATTCCTGAGGATATGTTATAGCCATGGAACTCACAAGGAGCTTATTCAATCATTAACTTAAATTCAAACAAGAAAACAGTGAAATGTTCATGGGTCATTCTAGTTTTCTTTTATTCTTTAAATAAGCAAACAAAAATTAAATTATGTATTTTAATTTGTCTCCAGCCATTGATCTAAATTGATAAAACCAGATCTTATACATATAAATAGTGGGAGACTTTTTACAAATTGAAGCATAGATTTTTCTTATTATGGGGAAGGAAGGCTTATTTTTTTTTTTTTTTAATCATATCAACACATGTAAGTCAGTTATGCCACTAGGAGACAAGGAGTTATTGAGTGTGAAAGAATAAGAAAAAAAGGAAACATTAATAAGAGTTGAGAACAACAGAAGAGTAATCAGGAAGACAGTAGATAACGATTGATGTTGAAATTTTTGAAGGTCAACGTTGGCTGGAAAGAATGGAGCCGGAAGAGAGTTCCACAAGTGAGAAGTGTGATAAAAGAAACTGTTAGTATAGAATTTACAGTTGCATCTAGCAAATTCAACTATGAATTGATGAGACTTGGTACCAATCTAGTGCTACTGAAATTCATAAAGTCTAAATATCATCGCAAAAGAGTTCATCCTAATAGTTACCATGAAGGTATTTATAGAAAAGGCACAGGGAAGCTCCTTTACAGTGGTGGGGAAAATATCTGAAGCCAAGATGCCAGGTCAGGACCAATAATATTGCTGATTCTTTGGAATTTATCAAGAATCTCTAAATATACAGCAGAAACAACGAACCATATGTGGCAGCAATATTCAAAGCATGGATGAATGGTGAACTTATAGATTCAGAGGAGAAAAATTGTCTATAACGACACAGTAAACCAACATTTTCATGTAGCAATGGATTCAATATAATCCCTTTACTTCATGTCAGCTGAGAATGTAAGCCCAAGTAGGTGCAACAAGTCACTCTCATGGAGATTAGTTTTCAGCCATACTGATGGGAGGCAGGACTGGGTATTTCAGGTAATTGATAGAGAGAAATTTTATTTTGGAGGCATTAAAATTAACAAGTCATTCCTTGCCCCCAGTTAACAACAGACTTTAGGTCATTTTTGAGATCAATTGTCAATTTGACCTCATCGAACTGATCAGAGTTACTATCAAAACAGGAGTAAATGTTTGTCATCAGCATACATACGAAGTTGAGAATACATGTCATCAGGAAAATCGTTGATGAAAATTAAAAACAAAGTAGATCCAAGGATAGAGCCCTCGGGGGCACCTGCATTAGTACAAAATGATCTAGAAGAGTGGCCAGTCAAGATAACTTTCATTTTACGATTTGATAAGAAAGACTGAATCAATTTATTTCCACGGAAATGCCTTTCAACTTATAAAGGAGATCAGAGTATGTGAAACCCTACCAAATACTTTTGATATGTCAAAAGCTAGAGCCAAAGCTTCACCATTCTTATCTAAAGCTTGCTAGACTTTTTCAGCAATCATTGTTAGTACAACAGCAAGATCTAGAGAAGTGATAGCTTGTCTAAAGAAGGCCTGGTGATGTAAGATGCTTAACCAATTCAGAATTGGCTAGGGCCTCAGTTTACCAAAAAGAAGTAAAAGTCTAATAGGCCAATAGTTGGAAGGGTCAGATGGTTTGTTTACCAGAGTTCTTCAAGATTGGAACAAAAGAGGACTTCCAACAAAAAGAAAAGCAAGAAGCAGTGAGGCATTTATTATACAGTTTAGAGAGGACAGGAGCCAGTCCAGGGGTACATTTTTAAAGACTATTAAAGGGATACCACACCTCGGTAGGATGATAAACTACATTCATCAGCAAGGCGGTTTTGTAGAATGGGGAACAACTTCTTAATTGTTCCCAGGTTCACACTGACTCATTGTGGTAGCACTTGTTAGGGTCCCAACTAAGTGTAAAACCCAAAAATTGGGGTCAAAACACTGTGAAAGAATAAAAATACATATTTATAGCAAAAATATCATAGTTAAAAAATTCTCAGTAATACATTTTTGGAAAAAAAAAAAAAAAAAGAAAAAAATTCCCAGTAATACATTTTTGAAAAAAAAGAAAAAAATACATTTTTTGAAAAAAAAAAAAAAAGAAAAAAATTCCCAGTAATACATTTTTGAAAAAAAAAAAAAAAAACTTCCCAGTAAGACATTTTGGAAAAAAAAAAAAAAAAAGAAAAGAAAAAAATTACCAGTAATACATTTTTTTTTAAAAAGAAATTACTAATGATCCCAAGAATATTAAATTTCAGCATTAAATGACCCATAAGCCACTAAACAAACAAATAAACAGGGATACAATCAGGTCCATTTGATTTGTGGGAGCCAGAAAAAATTACTTTTAGATAGGGGAGTGGTTTGCATAAATAGGAAGCTCTACACAATTCCATTGGATTTGATCAAAACTTTTGATGGACACAGAATTTGTCATTTGACATCCTCTTCCAACTTTTTGTTTCTATTCCTTGGAAAAATATGCTTTTGTTGAAAGTTGCTCTGTAGATTTGAAGATTAAGAAAGGATTTTATGGGGTTTGTTTACCAATTCCCTGTCTGCAGAGTTTCTTTCTGTTAGTAAGGAGAATTAGTGAATGGCATTTACAACACAGACGTATTTGCTGTTTTTCAACAAAAATTTCTCACAATGTTGTTGCCTAACAGAACACACAAGATTGATAAATTACTTTCAAAAATGAAAGCTAAAAATGCTTGGGAAGATAGAAAGACAAAAGCAACTAATTTAAGCTTTAAAAGAATTACATTATGCCTTTGTTTCCTTTTTTTGTTTTGTTTTGTTTTTTAGATCTTTTATTTTCTTTTTTCTTTTGTATATTCTTGACCTTCTCTCTATCTTGTCCTCTCTTTATCCACCTTTAACTTTACTCTCTCTTTTCCACTTCTATATAACCTTCCCTCTATCTTTTATTCACACTCTACTTTTCTTTTTGATCTTCTCTCTATCTTGTCCTCTCTTTATGTACCGTTAACTTTGCTCTCTCTTTCCCACTTCTATATAACCTTCCCTCTATTTTATGCTACCATACCTTTATACACACACAACCTTTCCTTCTCTCTCTTTTTTTTTCCCTTTTTTAATCAATTCACCCCATTCAAAGCCATAATACCACTAAGATGCAAGGGGCTACTGGGAATGAAAGAATATGAAAATATATTAGAAGGAATTGGAAACCCAATCCCAAGCAGGAAACAAGGAATAAACCTCTACTCCTGTTCAAGAGCTCTATCCTGTGCTTTCTTTATCCACCTTTCTCTCTCTCTCTCTTACTTTTTTTGTCAAATTTTCACCTGTCTAACCTTCCCTTTACCAAATTTAATTTTAATCTCTCTCTTTTTTTCAGTGGGAACATCTTTCTTTAATTTTTAACATTCTCTCTATCATCATCATCATCATCATCATCAGTCCCTTGACGGCTTCAATCCCGGGTGGGTGGGGGGTAGGTGGCATGAGGGTAGAAGAAACAGACATCCTCCTCCAGAATGATCTGTTGGTAGGAGTTCTCGCGTTGTCATGTCTGTCCTCTCTTTGATGTTGTCGTCCCCACTTGCATCTGCCTTCAACACTGCTTTGCATGATGATCTTGCAGAGGTTGTTATACCATGTGATGTGGCCAAACTATCTTCCAACGCTTAATAGTGTTGAAGAGAGATTCCTGTCGGCCCACGAGACTTTTGATTTTGCTCTGTACATAGTCATTGGTTTTTTGCTCTCAGTAGATGTCAGGGAGCTTTTTCAAGGATTTGTTCTTGAACATCTGGATCCTTTTCCTTGCCTCAACCAAGAAAATCCAAATTTCACATCCATAGAGGAGGATGGATACAATCAGCAGATTGCAGAGCTTGAACTTGCTATCGAAGCTGGTGCTGCTTTTTCATATCTTTTTCAGTCTGGCCATCGCTGCTACAATTGTGGCAATCTGTGCGCAAATCTCTGCATTGTAGGTATCATCAAAAGATGACACCTTCAATGCAGATATCTATCATTCTGTTCAACTTTACTCTGTTTCTTTCTTTTTTTATATACTATATTTTGTTTTACTTTATATATATATATATATATATATATATATATTTATATATATATATAATTTCTCTTCCTCTCATTTTTTTGATTGTGACAGTACTTTATTATTTTGTGAGTGAATATTGTATTAGCAATATTTGTAGATAATAATGATTTTCAGATACAAATTCTACTATTTAACCCATAGCTGGGATGGAGAAAGGTACTTGCACCTGAGTGAATGCAACGAACCCGAACTGAATTTGGCTGTCTGATTTCTCATTCTGAACCGTTATCCATTATGCCAACTGCACATCCAAGCTTACAGCACCTGGTATTCAAGAACAGTCACACCTTCTAGGTACTGACCAGACTCAACATTGCTTAACTTTGGGGATTGGATAGGAACTGGTGTTTCAATGTGTATTTTTATTTTATTCGATAAAAATTTGTTAATTATTATTGTTATTATTATAATCTTTTTGCTTTTTATTGTAACTTTGGTCAGACTGTCATTCTATCGTAGTTTATTGACAATATAGAAGTGAAAAAAGATATGGTTTTGGGGAAATTTGAACTGTTTTGCCTCAGGGGAAAAATAAATTTGAAAGTAAATAGTATTTTTTTTGGTTTTTCAAAGATAAGTAAAAAAAAAAAAAAATTAGGATTTATTTTGAAAAATTAAATTAAAAAGCCAATATTAAAAAAAATTTCAGTTGTTTATCATATGTGACCATATACAGAATTTAGATTGATAGAAATTACAAGTTATTTACAAAACTAGCTACTAAAGACTATATTCTTACTTATTATATTACTAGTGTACTCATGTTGTCAAAAATGACAGCAACTGTTAGTGAGATGCAATGAAATGAAAGTTTTGAAATAATTTATTGAGATTTAATAAAGTGACAATAAAGATTTCAAAATTAAGATATAAAACCAATGAACTGTTTAGTTAATGCATTCCCTTTATATATTTTTTCATTTAGACATTCATTGATATCTATGATTCATTGATTACTCCTGGTATCGTATAAATTGCATTTTCATGTTAAAAATTTGATGCGTTTAATTTAACAGTGAAATGGAAATATCTCTCAAATCTTGACTCCAGTTACTTTCTCATAGATGTGATATGGCTGTCTTTAGTTATTTATAAAACTAGCTACTTAAGACTATATTCTTACTTATTATATTACTAGTGTACCCATGCCATCAAAATTGATGGCAAGAAGGAATGTATCAGAAGTAATATGTATTATAACAATATCAGTATACGTCAATGGGACCAAGTTAGCACAGTACCAAGTGGGTAATCATTATTTTGCACACTGACCCTCAATTGTTATGCAATATATATATATATATATATATATATATATATATATATATAATGTAAGCAAATATATGCATATAGATCCAGCAGTATGAAGAAAAATATACGGGGAAAAACAAACGAAAATCCTAATATGCAATTATGCTGTTTTAATGTTAATATAATGTCAACATCAGACATTTCGGTCTAGTTTCAAAATACTATATTTTAGGAATACGTTTTCACAACATTGCCCATGTGACGCCGACGTGATCATATTAAAACGGAACGCTGATCTTGAAAAATTTCAGTTATCTGTTTTGATTAGTTTTACTCTTATGTCCATCGTCTTTTCATGTTGAATTAAATATAGTCTAGTGTTAATTATGTTTTATGAATATGTCCTGAAGATGGTCAACTAGACCGAAACGTCCGACGTTGACATTATATTAACATTAAAACAGCATAATTGCATATTAGGATTTTTTTTTTTTTGTTTTTGCATATATATATTTTCTTATATATATATATATATATATATATATATATATATATATATATTTGAATAAAAACAGACCATGTTAAGATTCCATGTAATAAGCTATTTCACCATAACCCCTTTAACAGGGTTCTGGATCATCAGACTTTACTTCCAAAGTCTGATGATCCAGAACCCTGTAAAAGGGGTGCGGTGAAATAGCTTATTACATGGAATCTTAACGGTTTGTTTTTTTATTCAAACATATCTGCTCTGAATTTTACATTGAGCTCTCTGGATATCATTCTCCTCGGGTCTACCCATACGGATTACCTAAGTTTATAAATAAATATATATATATATATATATATATATATATAGTGTGTGTGTGGGGTGGTGTATATATATATATATATATATATATATATATATATGCTAGGCCACAAAAATCTCCTGAGCCGACCAAGCATAGAAATAAATACAATATGGGGAACCAGTAATAAGGAGTGCCAGAGAAAAGCAATGATAACAAAGTTGCAATATGAACTCTGGTAAAGACATGCAATAATAACAGCAAAAAAAATTGCAATATGAGCACTGGTAAAAATGATGCTGAAAACATTAGGTTTATAATACTCAGAAGTTCATACCCAGATGTCCTCAAGGACACATGGACAGTGGATAAAAGCGTTGGTTAGATCCAGTGACAGACCCAAAGAAGGTGAGTTCAATTCCTGGTTCAGACAGGCAGTGGAGAACTTTCAGAAGGGAAAATTAGCAGGAGATAACTGATAACTGACATCCATCAAACATGGCACGTGGAATTAGAGCAGTCTACCCCAGCGATCGAAATAAAGGGTTCAGTTCGAAATTCCAACCACCTGAAGAAGGGCGAGGTACAACGGCAAACGTTGTGACAAATATGGCGACAAAGATGAGGACAATAGTCCGACTAATGTAAATACTGTATATATATATATATATATATATATATATATATATATAGATGATTTATGTTATGTTATTTATCTTACCATTTGATTGTCTTTATTTTTCTTTCTTTACCATCTCCTTTCAGTTTTTACTCTTTCTCCTTGCCTTTTATTATCTTCCTTTTTAGCTTTTTTTCCTCCCCCCCTTGTTTCTCTCTCTTGTTATTGATTGATCTCTCCATTTCTCATGCACCTTTTCCCACTTTCCATGTCTCTATTTTCATCTCTTGTCATTTGTCTCTCCATTTCCAAATTTCTTCTCACTACTCTCTGGATCTCTCATCACGTTTTTTTTTTAATCTCCTATCTTTTGTCATGTGCCAGTCACTACTCTCTATGTCTCTATTACCCTCTCTATTTCATCCCTTGCCTCAATCTTCTCCTTACTGTCTCTTTTTCCCTCTCTCTCTCATTTTCTAGGTTCCTATCTTCTTTCTCTTTTTATTTCTCTTTCTTTCTTTAATTTTCTTATTTCCTTCGTGGCTTATAGCCATATCACATTGAAACATCGGTTTCTGTACGATCACTGAAGGTAAGCAACATCAAGCCTGGTTAGTACCTAGATGGGTGACCACTTTTGAAAACCAGGTGCTGTAAGCATGGATGTATGGTTGGTGTAATTGTTAATTGAAGAGCTGAGTTCTAATACTAGTTGTGTTCATTATATACACTTATGGGTAAATACCTTTGGGAATGGTGTTAATCAACCTCTTCTCCCCTGCTATGGGTTAATTAGTAGAACTGATATCATTAAATCATTATTGCCAAAAAAAACCTCTTACATTCTAAAAATATTTCTTGGCTTTAAATAACCTGCAATGGGTTGATAAGCTGTAAAAAACAAATTAATCATTGGTGGACAATTATTTTGTTCTTTTTCTCATCTTCCTTATGCAAACTTTTTGTCACCTTCTTTTTTTCTCCACCCCCCATACTTCTTTTTTCCATTTTGTTAGCCTCTCTCTCTCTCTCTCTCTTTCAATTTTCTTTCTTTTCTTTCTCTATCCTTCCCTAACTCCCTCCGCCCATTTTCCTCCAACTGCCACTTCCCTGGCATCCCGCCATTTTACTCAAATGTCAGACGCCCAGCTCCTCCCCTCCTCCTTCCTGGGCAAAGACATTAAAGTACAGATGAAGCCAGCAGTGAGAGACAATACACAATAGAGTAGATTAAATTGACGTAAACTTGTAGATACTGTGACAGTTGGCACTGATTACGGGCAACCAGATTCTCTTGACATTAACACGCCCCAAACTGACATTATCCGCGACTGTAATACAAACTCATTTTTGTTACAAATATGTTTGGCCAATGCACACAATATTGCATGGCTGCAACTGTTAACAACTAAATGCTTTTCTTTCCTTACACACTCTTTCTTTCACATATACCGAAAACAATGGTAATGTTATCCATTTCTTTATAAGGAAACATACAGCATTTATTAACTGAGCAGCCAGTGCCACTGTTGGTTGAAATTTATAAAATCATTGTCTTAAAAAACAAATTTTCTTCAAAAATAAGTTTCTCCAGTTTACTCATTGCTATTGCTTTTTTCAGTTTTGATAGTTTTCGATACAAGTTTTTGATACATGCATGCAATCATGTGCAAATATAAATTTGCAAATAAATATTTTATTTAAATTTTGGTGTTAACAAAACAGTGCTCCATGTGGTAAAGCAGATCTATAAAGTATATATTAATAAATATGTATATTACCTGTTGTCAAAAGTATGACTCAGAGTTTCATGTTCAATACAATCTTCAGGTACTTATAATGATAAACTGTTTGTTACGATCGTTAGTATTTTCGGGACCTTATGGCACATGGTGCACCTGGTCTCTGTAGTTGGCTCTTCCAAAAGTGGAGTTGGTTCTGCACAAAGCCTTCACCATCATAATCAAATCATATGTGCAGGTGTCTGGCTGTCAGTTCCTAGGAACTGAGTTGCTTGACCCTTATACGTTGTAACAAACAACGGTAAAGTCCAACACATACAGGGTGGCAATAAAGTCGCTATACAGTTACTTATAAAACCAAGCATTGAAGCAAATGGCTTGCAGTTTAAACAGTATCGGTAATTTATTTACTATTGTTTATCATAGAATTTTATTATTAACCAGAATTAACCATTACCCTTTTAATAATAAATTTCTGGACTGTTGATTAATTGCTTTGTCTTAATTGTTATTGTAAGTAACTGTATAGTGACTTTATTGTCACCCTGTATATAAGGGCACCAACTCGAATTGCAGGGCTCAAAAAAACACTACTAGTATAGGCTTCATATCACACAGTTACATCTTAAAAGACAATCATGAAAAGAAATTAACAACAATTAACAACAAACTCCTTGAAAATGGCTAAAGATGTTGCTAATGTACTTGAAACAATAGACATGGAAAAATTTAAAAATACCAGAAAAACCCAATAAAAAAAATTCATCAAATATTCCTTGTCTGTCATATTCAACAAAACATGTTTGATCAAAAAATTTCTGGCCAAATAATGCCAAAATCTTTTTATCATTGAAAAACCCAGACGACACACGAAAAACATTTTGTGATTGTTTGTGAGCAGGCACCCCTACCCCACCTTAATGTAACCTGATTTTGAAAGTAACTTATATTTGATGTATAAGTTGTCTAGGGAAATTAAAACCCAAACATCTCTTATCAAAATGATTGAATTTTTCCGTAAACTTAACAATTTAAAATATTAAGATTTTCTGTGCTTATAAGTAAAGTAAACCTCTTAATAGGTTATTCCCAAAATCACTTGAGAATGGAACAGAGCTATGGATTTTAAATTTAATTTTATAATTAAATTTAAAATTTTAGTTTCTGTTTTGAAACACTGTAATTCCTGTGTAGTGATGGAACCATATTTTTAAAATAGAAAATAATTATAATATTTATGTGTGTGTGTGTGTGTGTGTGTGTGTGTGTAGCAACTATTCAGTGGTACTAAGGGAGTGTTAAAATTGCCCATAGTTCCAAGTGCTTTTGGCCACTTCTTTAGTCATTTTCAAGGGGTTTGTTGTTAAGTCTTTTAAGATGTAGCTGTGTGATACCTATACTAATAGCATTTTTTGTGAGCCCTGCAAAAGGAGCATGACTGAAATTTGATTTGGTGTAATATTTATATATATACATATAGATATATATATATATATATATATATATATATATATATATATATAAAATCAGTGGCAATTCTGGGGATCAGGCTAGAGTGAGTCAACATTCAAGTATATCTATTTCAAAGCAACAAAAATCTTTCGGAGTGCAGCATTTTCACTCTTGACTTCAGCTAGATCCAAAATTAATTGTTTTAACTCCATGCCTCAAAATATTGACCGAAATACATTTCATTAATATTGTACATAACAAAGAAGAAAGAAAAAAAACAAAGAAAGAAAGTCAGTAAAAAAAAGGATGAAATAAAATTAACTTGGCTTGTTGGGCTGCATAGATCTGAGTCCTATCTGAGCTGGAGACATACTTAATAGGAAATGTATTTCTTGCCTTAATTCTATAAATAATCTTTTAAAAATCTCTAATGACTTGTATGCCCTGTTTTTCAGAGAACACATTTTTATTTCAACTTATTGTTTTCAAATGTCCATTTTAAATAATTTATTTTGTACAGTATAAGATTTTTTAGCAGAATTATATCAATTGAAAAAGGGCAAATTAAATTTAGCCCAACTTAGCAAAAATCAAAGAAAGTGGCAGCCTTAATTTGTCAACTGGAGGGTTGAGGTGAGGTGTGTGACTGGGGTAGTGTTGAGGTAATATATCAGTCAGCAGTACTGATCATAAACATACAATAGATTAAACTAAAAATTCACAGAGAGTTACATAAACACACTAATACAGAGACCAATATACAAACATACTCTCGAGATACATACACACATTTTACATGTTTTGGAAAAAAATTTTAAAAAATGTTTATAGAATTATTACAATTAATATTTAAATATCAAAATGTTTTTTTTTTTTTTAATTTCATGCACAGATTTAAAGAAATTATATATTTTAGTTAGAGTAAGGAATCATTTTAGCATTTAAGTTGTACCAATAGTATATTTTGTTAAAAGATTGTAATGAGCCCTACAAACATAGATACCCTATATATATATATATATATATATATATATATATATATATATATATATATATATATATATATATATATACCTCCACATAAACACAGTACCTAAGATTTAATATGAATTTTTAAAATAAAAATCTTTCTTGAAGGTTTTATTTTAGTCTTAATTTCAAGCTAATAGATTAAATATAATATTTCCAATAAGCAAAACACTTTGCTGAATTTCAAAAACTAATTTAATTTGACTGGAAGGATTTTTTTCTTTGTTTTTTGCTCAAATATCTGCTTTCAGTGCCATTTTTAAGCCTCATTTACAGCAATATAATTGTCTTTATTAAAAAATCTTCCAAAAATAAAATATACACTTCTAAAACTTTATTTGAGGAAGATTAGCTGATTTAAAGTTTAATTAATCTGATCTGAAACAAATATTATTTACTGTAAATTTAAAATATCACAGAAGTGCATTTTTTTAACACAGCGGTAGCTGTTTATTTAAGTAGCTGACATGTTGACAGCTTGGTGACAGATGGATCTTTATCTAAAGTTTTTTTTATCGGGGGGGAGGGGGCCTTTACTGGCAAGAAAAATAATTGAATGAGCCCCTTTTTTATATAATTTTTAAGTACTCAGCAATCTTAAAAATTTAAGAAAATATTCTCCATAATCAAATGTTTAATTGAATTTTAAATAGTTCAGCTTTAAATATGATATAGTTATCACTCTTATTTTCTGATAATGTTGTATATGAACAACTGTATGTACAAAAGTTTGCACATTCACACACCTACAAAATAATTCAAAATTCTTTTAAAAATATTGGTGTTTGATAAATTGTATTAAGCTTTTCAATTTATGATTTGTAAATATAGTTTTTATTTAATAATAATTTAAAAGGGTGAAATTAATACAGAATTTTAAAAGATTTAAAGCTCAATAATTCTAATTAAAATTAAAAAAAATGCAAACAATTCTTGTAAAAATTAACTGAAAAAACATTTTCTTAAGATGATAGTGTCCTTAATATATCTTATTTATAAAAGCAATTAAAAGCTTATCTAATTAAATAATGTCTTAATTTTATTGCATTTGTTATATTACCATTAAGAGCAGATTTTCGGTAAATTGATAGTTTATATTCCCTAAGGTGTTCTGTGTTTAACTAACAGAAATATTATGGGGTGAAAATTTAATTTTTGAAATTTCATAAAATTAAATAAGTAGAGAGTAACAGATGTAAAAAAAAAAAAAAAAAAAAATTTAAATTTTTTTCCAAATTTGCATAATAATTTGATTCATTTGTGAATAAGTCCTGAAAGTTTCATTAAAATCTACAATTATTTCATTTTGCAAGAATTTCCAAATCCATGTGTTTTTACTGCAAAAAAGACACTAAAATTTGTTATACTAATCATTACTAATGCAAAAAAAATATTTTAAACAACATTTTGAACATGCTAGAAAGGCTTAAAAAAT